GAGACCCTGCAGAGCCCACTATAGAGAGTCTATGGTGGGCTCTGCAGGGTCACTCTCAGGTGGGATGTTTGGTATATCAGGTGGGCTCTGCAAGTGACATAACTAGCAATCACGGGGCCCCATACAAAATTTTGCTATGGGGCCCTATGATTTCTAGTTACGCCCCTGGAAGAGAGACTGGCTTTTCAAAACTGAAGACCATGAGGCAAAGAAGAGAGAGAATGGTGTGTGGCTTAGAGACTGACAGCTGGATGGGTATGTGAGAACAGCTAAGTGATTAATAGGAAGGAGATAGAAAAGTTATAGTGATTGACAGCAAAGGAGAGAGAACAAGTGTGAAAGTTAATATGAGTGTCTTTTTTCTATCTGCTATTGCAACTAACTCAATTTCCAACCGCTAAAGCATATTTGATAAGTAATGACTCTAGCACTTAGATCGCTAATACCGGAAATGAAAACTGACAAAGTATAATTACTGGGAGAACAGAACAGTTAATTATTTGTAATTTAAAATAATATAATATATGTTTAAACATAATAGGTTATCTGACTTACATTTTTATTAAAATAAGCAATTAAAATATAAAAACTTTTACTATTAACAACTCTAAATTGGGCACATATAGAAGATACACTGCAAAATGACAGTCCTAATATGATCACATCTTTCCATTCAATCACCTAATGGATATCCCTTTGTGCTTTCTTGCCTGTATGTAACCATTAAAAACAACGGCCACTATTCCTTACTCTTGCTATTAGACCTTTCTGCTGCTTTTGACACTGTTGACCACCCGCTGCTCCTCAAAAAATCCACTCGCTTGGCCTACAAGACTCTGCTCTCTCATGGTTCTCCTCCTACTTATCTACGCGCTCCTTCAGTGTCACCTACAATTCTAACTCCTCCCCTCCTCTTCCTCTTTCTGTAGGGGTCCCCCAAGGCTCAGTCCTTGGACCCCTCCCCTTCTCCATCTACACCTCCTCCCTTGGTCAACTAATAACCTCACATGGCTTCCAATACGATCTCTATGCGGATGACACTCAAATTTATATTTCCACTCCACAACTCTCCCCCTCACTGTCCTTGCGTGTCAGTAATCTACTAAATGACATATCAGTCTGGATGTCACAACATTTCTTAAAACTCAACCTTTCAAAAACTGAGCTCATGATATTTCCTCCTACCTGTGCACCTTCCCCCAACATTTCAGTTGAGATTGATAACACGACTATCCACCCCTCCTCCAATGCCAAGGTCCTAGGTGTCATCCTTGACTCGGACCTCACCTTTCTTCCCCACATCCAATTGCTATCCAAATCCTGCCGCCTTCACCTTCGTAACATCTCAAAAATAGCCCCTTCCTCACCAATAACACCGCAAAACTACTCATACACTCCCTTGTTATCTCTCGTCTTGACTATTGTAACTCCCTCCTCATTGGCCTTCCACTACACAGGATATCCCCCCTTCAGTCTATCATGAATGCAGCTGCCAGACTCATTCACCTTACCAACCGCTCAGTGTCTGCATCCCCCCTCTGCCAATCCCTCCACTGGCTTCCACTCGCCCAGAGGATAAAATTCAAAATATTAACAGTCACCTATAAAGCCATCCACAACTCTGCCCCCGGATATATCTCAGACCTTGTCTCAAAGTATCACCCTAAACGTCCCCTCCGCTCATCCATTGACCTCCTGCTTTCCAGCTCCCTTGTCCACTCCTCCCATACTCGCCTCCAGGACTTCTCTAGAGTCTCTCCCATCCTCTGGAACTCCTTACCCCAACCTGTCCGTCTATCTCCCACCTTGACTGCCTTTAGGCATTCCCTAAAGACTCATCTCTTCAGGGAAGCCTATCGCACCTCAACCTAACCACTGAACCTTCACATTCTCACATAATTCATTCCCACAGCTACCACAGCTACCTCATGTATCATTTCCCCCTCCTCTTTTAGATTGTAAGCCCTCAGGGGCAGGGCCCTCCTTACCATCTTGTCTTGAATTGTATTGTAACTGTAATGTCTTCCTTATATTATAAAGCGTTGCGCAAACTGTTGGCGCTATATAAATACTACGTAATAATAATAATAATAATAATAATAATACTGTCTCATCTATTCAAGGTTCAATTTTTATATCAAATCAAATATTTGATAAATATTTTTAAATCATATCAAATATTGCAGTTGTCAGCTAAATATTTCCAAAAATAATGAGACAAACACCTGGGAGAATCTGAGCTTGGGGATCTTGAAGTTTTCTCTGCAATATAATTCCTGTCAATTATATAGTCTCTATTCAAGGTAAACAACAGCCTTTATGCTTACTGTAAAAAGCATTTGAAAATGCAATACACTCAAAACCCAAAGCATTTTAAAAGAAAGACTACTTCATTTAAGGTGTACACCTAAGGTCAGAGTAAACAGCATTTAAAGGTAACAAGCAATTTTTCTAAATGGCTCTATTTAGCAAAACATCATTTGAAACATTAGAAATCCAATGAGACAAAACACATAGCAAAATCTGGAAGTCTGGAAGTGGTTTATCGCATTTCTGAAAAGAGGACCAATGTTTTTAACTGAACAGTGCTACTAGGATAAAAGTAGGATTTTTGGGGCTTTGATGCTCAGTCACTTCAGCCCTTATACCTATATACCCCTTATGGACCAGAGCAGTTTTACAATGTCAAGTCGACAGTCTCCGATTATATAGTCAGGGGGCAGAGTGGAAAGGGAAGAGGCGCAGGACATAGGAGACACTTCCCAGAAATTACTTACTGCATGTCTTTTGTGAATCCTGCCTTGTAGATGAGATGTGTATATGTCATTGGGATGTTAGGAGAATTAAAATAACTGAAAATGATTCTCATTTCATTAGGTGATTCTAAGCTATTGAACCCACCCAGTACCATTAATCAAAATTACCCAGGTCACTATTACTTCAAATTATTACCAATGTCAGAAGTGGCGCTGGAATATCATACAGAGAAGAATTAGATTACAGCTAGTAAATCACCAAGACATTTACATCGACATTAAAGGCAAGTTCTGTATGCGGAGTAGACATGTACGCTGTCAAAAAATGTGTTTTTTTTCTGATTTTTCTTTCTGTCAGGTTACAGGTCTGAACACCGTTTTTAATTTAGTTATTTGGATTCGCATCTTTCGTAATTACGTTAGTTTTAGACTGGGTTTTCTGATTGGCCAGAAAACAGTCACGTATTCGATTTAGTTTCATTTTGAACAAAATTCGGATGATCCGAAATTTAATTAAAAGAACTTTTGGATTCATTTGCATTAGGCCTCATTGAAATTCGGACATGCGAATGCATCTGAATGTCCGAATTAATTAAATTTCGTCTGAAGTTGCATTTGGAATTAAACTAAATTGAAACATATAGAAAGTATTAGGGATGCACCCAAATTTTGGCCGCAGAAACATATCGGCCCGAAAATGGCACTTTTGGCAAAATGCCGAAACTGCCATTTCTTGGCCGAAATAGCGGTGCATCTGTGATTTCTCTCCTCCCCGCTGGATGCTCCTCCCAGTGGGGAGGATATAAACTGTCACAGGTGGCCGAACGGTGTGGGAGGAGGGGAGCTCTGTGAGCGGCCAGTGTCTCTCCTCCCCGCACCGCTCAGGCTCCTGTGACAGATTGGGAGAGCGGTGGGTGGGCGGTGACAGCTGTCAGCTGTCACAGGAGGCCTGTCGACGGTGCAGGGGAGGAGTCAG